AAATCCTAATACAATTCAATTGAGCCATCGACGTACTGCCAACCGGACGCCGCAAACAAACACCGTCCGATGTCTTCGGTCTTTCGTTCTTTCTCCGTCAACGAGTCCGATCTGGACACAGCACTAAAGCTCCTCAGCCGACAAACTTCTTGCACATCTGCACTCCGGCTCACTAAATCATGGAACATTGGATCATCTTGGATCATCTTGGGCCCTACAAAGACCATGGTCTCCTAGAAACAGGAATGGAACTGGAACATGGGCCTGCAAATCCAGCATGGTCCAACCACATCCTCAGAAGGTAGGTAGATAGACCGGGCACCCACCCCTGGCCCACCAAAAGCCCAAAACCGGGACGGGTCGTTTCCAGTCTGCCCCACGACCCTCGTTTTCCTCACCGCAAACCCCGACCCGCAAACGGTGTCCCCGCCTTCGATACGCGGAGCCTGCGACGACGCAGAGGTGCATGGGACTGCCATGTGCCGCCCCAGACAGACCCCCAAAACCAAGCACCCCAAGTGATCGGCCGTCCTATGGCCCAAGGGTCGTGTATAGTCGTGCTGCATTCGTTGCTTCATCGAACCCCATGAATCTCTACATACATCGTCAGCGCCGGCGCCCCACTCACCACGGAATCGGTTTTTGCGCCTCTGCACGCAGGGTTTCCAGAATTCCTGCAGCCACAAGAATCATACAAACACATGATAAGGAATTCTGTGTTTATTGTCTTCTGCACACATATCATCATTGCCTTCATGATAAGGAAAACACAAAAACACAATAGAAGACGGCGCTCCCCAAGGGAAAAGGGAATCTGGCCCCTTCTGAACATGTGGTTGAATTTGTGTCTATATCCGTTTCAAACAAGATCCGAGAACCAACAGGAAGCAATGTTCTTGGGGTGGGGCTAGTGTTTCGTTTTGCTGGTTAGTATATAGGTGCATCAAATTCTGGCACTGCACACACCATAGTACATTGAAATCTGCAGTTTTCACTTCCCTGGTTTCACTTCACACATACACACACACCATCTTGGCGGAAACCATAACGCGTTCCATGACCAACAGCCACCAATCAAACAAAAAATAAACACTGCATGAAAATGGGCATGGACCACAAGAATCTGTGAAACTCGCAAAAGCTTTGCTCGGTCGGTTAGGGAGATCCTCACGTTCAAAGATGACACCGCGTATATGTATAGCCGACCGAGGACCCCGCAATGTCACCAAATTTCGGCCGTTCCGGTCGCCCAAACTTGATTTCCAACTCTGATAGCTAATAGGCTAAGACCAGACCTCTTCCTGATGAACTCACCGACGGTCGTCCGGCGAAGCGACGGTTCTTTTCTCTCCGAGTTCCCGGGCCGTCTCCGGAGAGCATGGCTTTCGAGATGCTCTCGCCTAAGGTGTTGACCGGTTTTCGCGCGGGGGTTTATTTGAGGGTGACGGCATGTGACGGCCGCGTGGGAAGGATGGGCACTGGCATACTTGCATGCTGCGTCCATTTTTGTGCTGGAAAAGGGTATGTGTTTGTGTACAGCCATTTCAAGATCGATTGAGTACAGCGGGTTGGTCGGTCATGCAAGTACCAACCCATCAAAAAAAATTCTCTCAATCGCACATGAAAGTCCCAACACGATGCGTTTTTCGTGGTCAAAGTCTCAACTGCTGTCGACTGAAATGGTCCCGGGCAATATCTGAAAGCACAATCTGTCTTGGCCTTGCCGCGGGAGAAGTTGGATTGGAAGGTTTGGCAATGGATTGGTGATCGTACACACCAAGACACCCCAGAAGCCTCTATTTACTCTCTACAACCACATGCACTAATCTGGACAAGCTCGAGGCTCTCTGCAAATTTCAGCCTAGCCTTGCATTCTTTGAGTTGGACAAAACCTTCACGCAGGCCAGGGACACGCTGTGTACAAGGACCCAACAACCATGCATCCCTACAAAAATCCTCTCGGGTTGCATGTTGGCTTGTGGTTTCCGCTCCAGAGATTCGTTGAGAGGCCCCTCGTCTGCTGTTGAATTTGCTAAAGCATCCGTATGACCGCCTGGGCACTGTTCTTTGATCTGTCAACGAAACCTCCGCACGAGTAGGGCCTGTAGAGTGGATTTTTTGGTGGTTCCCTGGAACCGCCAAGACAAACAAGAAGTATAGACGGAACCCTCCTCCCTCGCGCAATCTTTTCATGCAAAAATGTCAGTTCCTCCGCCGGTACCAGCCATAACCGAAGGCCAACAGCGCGGCCGTGAGCGCTGCGGCTGGCAGAAGATCTCGTAGGACCTGTGAGGGAGAAGCAGCTTGTTTCTGCCCTGAAAAAGGACAAAGAACCACGGGTTTTATTCTCAGGACTTGAAGCCTGCACCCACCCCAATCACAATGAACAAGAGCACCGAAAACAAGAAACCACTGCTCCAAAAAAGGTTAAAGGCTATCCCCTGATTGGGTACAGACTCAACTGACTCATCTATTACATCCTGAGAACTCTCGGCTCGATTCTCGATTTTATCCAAGAGGTTGTCAAAAAAAAAAAGGACTTGGAGTGGGGATATAGGGCTGGTGGACAGCTCTGCCATCAATAATCTATCATCCATGACCTTTGACTCTCCACAAACTTGTTTCCCGGCATCCGACGAACAAAGGCAGGGCTGTATGCAATTTTGCAGGGCATCCGCTGGGATTGGATGGGATCAGAACGCAATTGGGTCTGAATCTTGGAGGTGAAGGGCAGACCCAAGCCGTTCTTCAACCCAAAAACCCAAGACTGAAACCACAAGCCACACCTGCATGCTGCAAGCGGTCCAAGTGTCCCCCCAACCCCGTAGACAGGAGGATGGATGAAATTCCGTTGTTACTAGAGTCACCCAAAACACAGAATGGACTAATGACATGTTTGAGTTCCACTTTAGTGCCTCAAAATGATGCATGTCAATGGTCTTGTCTCAAGGGGCTTATATCAATGGATAAGTCACCCGCACTCCTGACAAGTCGATCCTCTCGAGTTGGTGTTTTCAACATTTTCCACCTAGCCAGCAAAACATGCACCATGAAATACCCTGTGAAACCCTTGAGAAAACAAAACCAGCCAGCGCAGTGGAGCGTGCAGCAAAGCGTGTAGCTGTTGATACCACTGGAAGATGTTTCCACCACCTGACTCGGTCGGTCCGCCTGACCCTCCCACCTCCCTTCCTCCACCGGCGCCTGGTTGCGTCTCTCCTGGATCGCCTCTTGCTCAGTGATGCCCAAGCGGCCGCGCCAAAGCCGGCTCCGGAGCTGACGCCCTGGCGGCCACAGGGTCCAGCTGCACAAGCGGAGCGTTTGCATGGAGGGTGGAAATTGAAGGAAGCGGAGAGGGGGCTAAGTAGGTGGAATGAACATCAAAAATATTTTGGGGAGGCACTCCACCTAAGGAGTCTCCACCTTCCACCTATAGACACCTATAGGTGCACTGAGATGGGACGAGACGAACCCTTGCAGCTTCCAGATGGTTCGGGCCGGATTCTTAGGGGTATATATATAATATATAGCTTTCGATCCTTATAGAACCTCATGTTTGAAGTGCCCATGCTTGAAAACTTGTTTGATACTGTAATCTGTGATGTGTTTTTTTCACCACCTGTCAGGTGAGGGCTGCTAGGTTTTAGAAGAGGAAATTGGCGACTTTTTTTTCCTCCTCTCCTCCTCGTCTCAACAACTGCCAACTCCAGCCTCCACAGCAAGCGCCAGATCGCAGTTCCACAAAAGCAGGTGCCAGATCGCAGTGGGCACTACCGGACCTCCACGGCAAGCGCAGGAAAAGTGTCAGCACGCCAACAAACGTCAAAAACAATCCAGAACAGTTTCCAACCCTTATGATAGATGATGTATCAAAGCACAAACCAGACTTGATGCCAGAACAAGCGCATGAACATTGTGTCAATCTGCATGTCCGCCTTTGTCAGGCTCTATCACTACATGGGCCCTGCCTTCTTCCAAATCGCCTTTCAGGGTGGGGATCACTCGAAGTAAAGCCTTTTTTTGCAGCGGTGCTTGTAGTTTCAAGCACCAAATGTGCAGGCAAACCTCCAAGGACAGCACGTCAACCATCCCATGTTCTTCAAATTTTGGAGGTTCATGATTCATGATGAAACAAGAAATGATCCTTTGACCATGAGCGAGTAGACTGAATGGACCATGAACATGAAAACAGAATCCAAACATTTCAAATACCTCCATAATCTTCAATAGCGTGACGTGTCTCAGTGTCCGGTAGTGGCATGGCCCACCTTAGGCGGTGCAGAATATTGATCTTCAATACTTCTCAACATTGACCCTTTTTCAACCATCTCAACCGATCGGACAATGCGTTGTACATGGAGTGTTTGGGGAAGGCATTGGAAGGCACACCTTCTGTCACACACACAGACACTGCCAGCCTAAAAGAACGCCTTTGAGGTTCCAAGGTGTTACGTACCCATACCTTGGGCGACGGGCTGTTGTGAGGTCCGGCCGAAACCTGTGCACGGTCACAGCTCCCATAACACGTGTTGACCGCCCCAAAGCTAGGTGATTTGGTCAATCTATTCTTTGAGAGCGCCCTGGAAGACTTACATGGAACCTGAACCAGACTGGCCCAGCGTGTGAAGAGGAAAGGAAAATGAGACGCAAGCAAGGAACACACCCAAAATCATCCACAGGCTTACATGACTGGGTCATTTCAAAACGGGTTAAGTGTCTAGCTCGCAACCCAGGGGGCCAAGCACCCTGAACAAGCTTGGTAGAGAGTCCAAAGCAGCTTTGGCAAATCAAGCGCAACCTGTCAGCACTGGAAATCCCCTATAGAGGTTAAGTGGAAACACTACAAACGATTACAAAAGATGATATGAGATGTCCCATCAAATCCCTCCCCTATTCTTCAATGGGTCAAAACCAAACTAATTCAGGGGCTCTGGTCCATTCTGCTCGGGTGGCATTTGACTCCCAAAATGATACCCCCTCTCTACAGCGCCCCTGGCAACTCAGCTCTTACTGACACCAACTCCCAAAAGAACGAGGCACCAATGGCTTGTGTCTCTGCCGTAGACCAAGACGTTGCCCGCATATTTGTGGCCGCCCACATGCGAGCACTTGCGTATCCGCATCGCTGGCACCTGCACAACGACAAAGCCTCTGGACCCACCGACAGGTCCTCTGGGTCCACTTCCTTATGTGCTTCCTTTTTGCAGCCAACGGCAAAGCAAAGCCCCCATGTCACGAGACTGATAGGAATGCTGCAATGTGTCTACCTTACTCAAGGCTGCACGAAAGGTAACTTGCTTGATGTATGTCAACGATAGAATCTCCCAACCACACTACCCACCATGTCCAAAAGCAACCGATAATGTCATACGAAAAATGGCACGGACATTCTTGGAAGGTGATTTGAGGCGAAGGTCCATGATTGTCGAACAGTCGAACACACTCCTTAAATCAGACATCCTGGTGAAGTGATTAATATGAGTTTAAACCAACCTCTATCCAACCTTGGGTAATCCCATTCCCTGCCACAGTGGATGATGATAGTTAACAAGTTAACAAAGGCCTTTCTCAAAAATAGGGATCATCTTTATTGACTCACAGGTCACGGGACACACCCGAATCCAACTACATTCAAAAGGTAGGAAGCCCTCCGGTCCACCGGGACATGAAAACCCGGTCCCACTTTCTCGAAGGCGATGTCGATCTCCACATGTTGAGAACGAGAATCCATAATCGCAACCAAATAAAAGAAGAAAAACGACCTCATATTAACGGTGACCTGATCTTTCTTTCCCCTCGTCTCATTAAAAAGAACGGTTCTCTAAATATATGGTTCTTAATGTCTTATATGGTCCTTGTAACTTTCTGGCTGAGACCCGACCTCAACGAAAAATCGACGCGAGTCTCCATGTCCCGAAGTGTCGTCGCCTCGTTGAGCTTCAGAAGCTCTTCCGCCTTGGCGGTCAGTTCCGGCCCGCAAAAGCCGCAGCGGGCATCGCGCTTGGCATGCGCACACACGAAGAGCATGGTGTCTTCAATGTCGCGACCCAAGGAGCCTGCCAGCTTGAAATGCTTGAAGCTGTAAGAAAGACATGACCCTGGATCAACTCAATCTTAAGAACCAATTCCGCGCAAACTGTGCCAAAAGGACAACTACACTCCCACCCAATACAGCAATTCAACTGGGAAACAACGCTCTCCCTTTACCCGGGAGAGTGATCTTAGGCATCCAAAAGTCCCCCAAAAAGGCCGATGTGACAGACCTAAACCCCGAAAACCAACTATAAATGTAAGTCATGTCAATCCCTACAGTGGTATCTAAATTACGGCTATGGCTCAACACAAGAATGTAATTACTATCCAAACATCTCCCAACCTCCACCTGCGGCTGGGTAAAAGGAAAACGACCTACTAAACCTATCTAACTGATTGTTTGACCCTATTCTTCTATCATCTTATTCCAATCTGTGTGTCAAATCCCAAAACGAACGGCGAGAGAAAACAGCCACTCTGTTTTGCCACTCTCCGGACACACGTCCGTGTCCGGCCGGACCCACGTCCGGTGCCTCCTTGCCGCAGGAAGGCGAGGAGCTGCGGAATCTGGGCACCATCCGCGCCCACATCGAACTCCACTGCCTCGGGGTACAAGAGCACCAGGCCATCCTGGTGACGGGACGGACCACCCCGGTGGGGCAGTCACCGGATCGCCGTGCGTGATGAACGGCGGCGTTCCATGGCACGTGTGTGTGTGTGTGTCCACCCCTGGACAAAGGGTTCTCAACCAACTTCGGCAGGGGGCGACAGGGTCACTGCATAGCTGTCGCCAACGAAGCTCTATGCAGATGACCAGGATGCAGGGACTGATCATCCCTGTGTACCTGCCACCGCAACTTTTGACCACGCTGTCTAATCTGCCTGGTTTGTTTCCATGGTTCTTCATGATACCTTCCCCCTAAACCATTTCCTCCCCAGCAGCGCTGCAGCTTGAGCCGCTTCGTCACCGCAGTCAAGGGAAACAACCTTTGTTCAAACACCTACAATTTTCTCGGACTTTTCGCCATGCTGTTCCACCGCCATCCTTCCCATCGTGGTAACTGAGTTAACTGAATACCAGTGTCAGAGTGTGTTTCGCTCAGCCGTCCCACTCGGGTGCTGAGTGTGATCCCCGTCACTGGGGCGCTGTTTTTTGCATCGGAATTCAACCACCCCAACGTACCACTTTTCACTGGACCTTCACCGGAAGTCACGGCCACCCCCATAGAATCAACTGATGCATTGGCCGCTGGGCCCAAAAACGGCATCACTTCGACAGCCGCCGGGCTATAAAACGGTGCTTACCCCCAATGAGGCAGGTTCCCCAAACCCCCCCCCC